TTATTTTACCCAGAGGAGAGCATGGTGGATTTGTTAAGGCATACTCCCGGCATCAACCTGTTTGAGCTGAACAAGAGAGAGCAGCTTAACTCCGCTGTAGGAGAGGTTACAAGTGCTGAACTCGCAGACTAATCAAGCGTTCTCCTTGTGTTTTCTCCCTCTCTCTCTCGGTTCTCCCTGCACCTCCCCATCATCCACTCGGATCAACAACATATAGGTAAGAAAAGTTTTTTTTCCCCCACTTCTTCTGCTGCTTGTGAGCCTGTGTGTGTGTGTGATTGTGTGGGAGGTTGGGTGGGGCGTGAGAACTGGCAGGGTGGCGCAGAGAACATGCTCGGCATATCAATGATGCACGGATGCACGCACAAACAGCTCTCAGACATATAGTGCACATGTGTAAATCAGAGGCACGGCTCCTGTCAAAGAGCCAAGGCCGTGCCTCTCATGGACTTCTTTCAGTTCGCCGAATAAAGAGACACTTTCAGTCTTAACTTGTGTGCCAAAAAGAGAGATTATCTACTCAAACGTTAAGACAGAAAGAACAGAGAAGGAGAGGGACTCTTAGGGACAAACTAACCTGAATGAAGGGGCAATTAACATATTTGTCCATTTTGTTCTTTTTGTGTGTATTTTTCTTTTCTCCATTTGCTTTTTATCAGGTCAGGTGTATTGAATGTTAGCAGTTTCTGTCATTTGAGATCGAGCGTTGCTGTTCATTTTCAACGTGCGTTACAGACTTGAGTGCATCATAGCTTTGAATAGTTAACGAATGCTGGTACACTTTTTCTTTTGTGAATATGTATTTTTCTTTTTCAATATACATGTCACCAATCTACAAAGTCATCAACAAAGACCTACACGACCTCAGAAATGAGACACAGTAAAAAAAAAACACAAGACAAATTATTTTTTCAGCTAGCCAGCTCTGTAGCAATAAGCTGTAGCCTATACTGTTATCGTTTCAGACATTTTCCCCTTCACAATCAACCTTTTTGACAGCTTATTGTTCTGCTAAGTTTGTCTTCCAATCAGAAATTATAAGCTAAAGAAGCTAAATTAACTAGCTACCACTCGGAAAGGTGAACGCTACCTGACTTAGTTAGCTACTTTACACAAAGACGGTTTAAGCTAGCAAGTAAAGTTAACAAGCATCCAGTCTGAAACTTGAAGCCAGCTTGTTTTGACTCAGAAATTAAAAAGTTAGCTGGCTGAGCAAAACCTAGCTTTCACATACAAGGATGGAAAAAAGTTGGCTAAGATAACCTGCTTCAACTTTTAAGCTAGTGCATTTTAAGCCAGAAATGTTAAGCTAGTTAGCCGCGTTAACTTGTTAATTTTGGAAATTGAGAGTCAGTCTATATCTTGCACTGATCCTGACTAGGCATTACCCCTTTGTTCTTTTGCTATTTTAAAAATTGATGAGTCAATGTCAGCTAATATACACTGAGTGCATTCTAGGTCCAGCTTTCATTAGCTTGAACGCTTTCGGCGGCCAAGTCGTTCTGGTTAATTACCAAGACTGTCAAGACTCGCAGCTATAGAGTCCAATAACCCACAGCTGGCCGGTGTTGAGTAACTTCTTTTTTTTAATAATTTCAGCTTTGATCAAAGCACTTTAAAACAAACACATTATGTTCAGAAGGCTTTAAACTAGCTTCTAAGAATAACAACAACAAAAAAAGCTTTTCTTCTCTTCCTTCTGACACAAAGTTTAATCAAAACACTGTGGGAAAACATATTTTATGTTACTGTGGCGTCTCCAATATAACCTGCCGAAACTCATAACAGTCACCGCCGCCTCTTCAAACAAAGCCTCCTCACTCTCTGCTCCCTCCTGTGTGTCTCTATCCGTCTGTCATTCTTTGAGCCGTGTGCGAGCTGACAAGTTGACTGTCTGAGCCAGCAGCTGGTTCACTGGGTCATTTTTTTATACTGCTGTGGGAAATTAATATTTCTAAGCGATATTAAAAACATTATCTTTGTTTTTTGGGGTTTTTTTTTGGGGGGGGGTACTTTGTTGTGAGCCTTAAACTGATTCCTTCTGAAAGCGTGAGAGAAAGGTGATGGGCAGGAAATCCCAAATCAGAGTGCATGCTGAAGTATGTTTGGCTGTCTATTTGTATGCATGTTTTGATGGCTTGCAAATAAACAAGCCCTGGTAGCAAGCAGAGGAAATGTCAAACTCCCCAATTAACATACACATTTGCCTACACGCCCACACAATTGATCAAATGTTTTATTTCTATATGCTTATGCATGGTTCACTTACTCCCACTTGGTTGGGCTCAGAGACTCGTCATAACATTTGCATATGAACAGAATGCAAAGGGCAAAATGTTCCTCTGCCTGAAGTTAACATGTCAGAGGTGTCTCCAATAACTGTCCAAGACATCAAAACAATTTCTCCATCCCACCATCCTGTCCTTCATCCAGAACACCACTGGCGCTCGTGTCCCTCCCGTTCAGGGTCTGTTTGGTTGTTTATAGCAGCCGGTAGGATGTTGTTTGGTCCGCTCTCTCTGCGGACGCTTTGCAGATAAACAAAAGCTTTGAAGGCCGCCTCACCCTCTCCCACGCCGGCTGCTGGAAATGACGCGGTCAACTTGACCTCGTCGAGATGAAGGAGGAGGAGGAGGATGTGAGAGTGGATGTATGTGTGGAATTTGTGATATGTTTAGTTGGTTAAAGCACATTGTTTTTACCATTTGCATTTTGTTAGATGTCTCACATGTTACCCAGATTGTCTTTCACCCGTGCACTCATAACAGTCACTCGACAGGCTGAAGATGACTGAATTGTTTTCAAGATGGGAGTAATCCTGCACTCACCAGGATTGTTCAGATCGACTTTAAAGGCTTTGTATGCAATTTTGATCCAGCAGATGTCGCCCTTGAGCACCAGCATGAAACCAAAACAACTCGCGCTGCATTATTGTGTTAGCATACTAATGCTAGCGATCTTTATTATGCTGGTATCTTCACACTGCATGTAAATTTACCTGAAATGAATGATCTAGAAACACAGTTAAGCAGTGAGTACAGTATGTTATTCTTCTTTTCTCTAGTCCCTCAATTAAACAACTTTTATACACGAGGGGAGGAGTCAGCCGGCTTCCCGGCGATGTAAACAAACTGAAGATAGGACTCTGAAAACTCTGAAAACATCACAGACAGTGGGACTCGGGTGTTACACCCATTGTAGACAGTCATGACTCACAGAGTTATTTTCAGAGGATATACTTGATTTATATTATATTTAAGCATATAAAGCGTTTTACTTTAGACTTTAAAGAGCAGCGCCGTGTGACAGTGTTTTACCTTCAGACTAGACGGCCTACATTTAAATTTACTTTTAAACGACCAGGTAATAATTTGCCTTGGAACGTCCATAATTTGAACAATTTGGTGAGTAGTCCACCCAGCCATTATGGTTAGGCTAAAGTAAACATGCTATCATACTAGCTAGCTGCAGTGCTAGCTTTGCTAACCCTGGCTGGCATCGGGTCTCATTTGTACCTGCTGCTATTTGTCTGTTGAATAGCAGTTGAATTCTAATTCCTTGCTCATTGCACTTGATGTTTGGAGGATTTATCAGTGTTGTTTATGTATTTGTGTGTCTCCCTGTGGGGACATATAAAGATACCTTTGACCTTTGACTAAACTTTGCTTTGGAGGTCACAGAAGTCTGCTGAGAGTCTCCACGTCGTCTCTCACTTCCTTCTTATTTACCTCACCCTTTCACTGCAGTGGATAATGAACTTTTCCCTTCATTCTTTATCTCCCTCTCACACTCCCCCCCTCCCCTCCTCTCAGCCCCCCCCTCCCCCCGTTCAAATAAACTCTGACTTCATTTGCCACAGTGTTGCAGCAGGCTGTTTGGCAGAGACCTGACGGCTTGAATGCGTCGCACCGAGCACACTGGCTGCATTGTGCTTTTGATGAGGCCCTCTACATCTCAGTCACTCGAGAGCCTGCGTTGTGCGGCCGTGTGTTCGCGTAGCCGATGGGCGAGGGGCATGCTTGTTTGTGTGTGCCCACATCTTGGACACAGACGCAAACAGACCCAAAGCGAGTGTGCGCTCTCCAGCTCCTTAGCCGTCGTCGCACCTGGGCTTCTTCGGGGTCTGACGCAGCGATGTGGAGATGTTTACTAATGCTCGTCTTAACGTGTTGAATGATAAACAGAAAGGGGGGTCAGCGCTGATCGATACTCAGGCACTGCGCTGAAATACATCCGCCACCGGTCGCGGCAAATCATTCTCTCTCTCTCTCCGTCACTCTCACTGTAAAGCCCTGAATCTTTGGCTGCTCTCCACCTGCTCTGCATGCCAAAAAGTCTCTGCAGAATAACTCCTCTTGGACCTGTTTTTATAGTTCAACTACTTTAAAGAAAAAAGGGCAAGGCTTTTCTATTGTCTCTCACTCTTTAATCATGTGAAGTGCTGGGCAGGAACGACAGCTTCTTTTTTTTTTTTTTTTGATGCGCTCTAAAACAAGCTTCAAATCTCAAACGCTCCAGTCCCCCCCCACTCATCAGCTGCAAATACACAAACAGGCCTTCTGAAGCGTTCATGCAATGTACAGCGATGTTGTACATGCATTCTTATTGTCTGGTTTCACTTTGTATTTCTAGTCTTTTACACAAACACACACACACACACACCAACACACAGAAAACCTTCTTCCCACCTGATTGCTTTCCCATTTTTCTCGCAGAGAGATTTATGGTTGGGGGAATGTTGGAGACAGGCTATTACCATGTCCTGTTTGAACTCATCAGTCAGACAAAGTGGTCGAGGTGAAAATCGGCGACGTTTTCGCAGGCCCTTTACAGACGCGCTCTCCCTCCTACACGCTTCCCCCCCCCCCCTCGCCCATGTTAACCCTGCTCCAGTGGCCCGCCCGCTCTCCCACACTGCCTTGTTTTTTTCATCAGCATTAGGCAGCAGTGCAGTTCACACACTGCCGCTATTTATTTTTTTCTCTCTCCACCTTTTTCAGCAGGCGTGCGAGAGGTGAAGCACCGTCTGCCCGGCACAGAATCACTTCATCAGAGTCAACTGTACAGATACTGAGAGTGCACGATGGAACAAATGTGCAGGAGTTTTGCTTTTTGATGCAGAGACTTTTTGACATTCGTTTTAATGACTTTGTACTTTTTGGCACATCGAACCAGACTCCACCAGGGTTTGAAACATTTTAAGGATGGGCTCGTACTCAACGTGTGCAGCCTTTAGGGGAACAAACTCTTACTTTTTCTTTGCTCTTCTGGCTTGGATCTTAAATTGTGGAATGCTCCGTTCACACATTTTAAGCACTGTGTGTGTATAAGGGTTTATGCAGAACAGTTAAGATGAGTGATTGATCACAGGGAGACACGCTGGCAGGAACACCTACCAAATTTAATAAACTCCCATTTACGAGACCCGCAATAAAAAAACGGCTTTGTGAGGCTTAAATTATTCAACTTCGGCGGAGCAATGATTTTTCATTTAGTCATGAAAACATGACATGTGTTCCCATTTGCTTCTCATCTCTATTTTCTTCATCTTTTTTTTTTGTAACCTTCGTTTATTGCACGGCTTCTTTTTTTTTTTTGCTCGTCACACTTGATGTGTAAATAAGAAAACGACGCTTAAAATTGTCGCCGCATCTGGAATCACACTCGAGAGGAATGGTTACTCCTGCAGTAACGACAGATACAGATGTAAGAAGGAGTTTGAGGCGTTGCTGTTCATGGGTCATTATTGTGTGTGTGTGTGTGGGGGGGGGGGGGTTATGCATAACAATATAGTAAGAAGGAGTATATGTGACCCCTAAGCATCTTAACAGCAAATTATTTAGCACATTTTATCTATTTTTTCCGAGTCTAGTTGTAAATCAGTGTAACTTCTTGTGATTAAACACAGAACAGAAAACTCAAAGGACTTGGTCTTTTTCGATTCTCTGATTTGTTTTGAAATTTTCAAAATCCAAAACAAAAAAACGCCAACCAGAATTTACATGTTTAGGTCGTGTCTGAACCTCCTCAGTGGACTCTCATCGCTCAGGGAGACGAGTGCTGTCGAGTCCTTTCAGCCGTTTGTTGATCTCTTCTTTTCCCCACTGTACCACTCACTTACAGTACACTGACAAGCCGCCCTGTTTCTTTTTCCATGAAATGTAATAAGAAGTGACTGCTGCTTTGCTTTGAGATGTATAGAGAGGAGACAAGCAGCCGGCAGAGCCTCCTCACTGCGTTGTGTTCAGTAAATGGCTGGGGGGGACACACACAAACTTACTGGATCATCCTAATGTCGTTTTTTTCTTTTGGAAGTTCACAATAGGAGGATGTTTTTTTTCGTTTTTTCTGCCCATACTGTCTTAGAATTATTGTTTTTTAAGCTTCCTTGGTTTGGAAGAGTTTCTGGCAGGCCTCAATCCTGGCCCTGCTGCAGTCGGTTTATCGAAGCCACAGCATCCGTTTCAACTCGGCACGGCATGCCACCGAGCCTGAATCCCCCACACTTTATCTCCAGGCGGCAGAATGAGTCTCGAGGGACGGGAGAGTGTGAGGAATTCACCCTTTCCTCCTGTCCCACTCACAGATGTGTTCGAGGAGTTGCAGCATTAGCCGGTGGTGTAACCATGTATGTTCTCGAGTACATATCAAAGCCTTCCAGAGAGCCTCCTCGTCCTTCTTCTATTTTTTTTTTTAATTTCTCCCTCCTCGTCTTTTTTTCTCTTCCTCGCTGGCTCGTTGGAGCTGCTGATAGGGGTGTGTGCCCGCTGATAAGTAAAACACACTCTAGGGGCTTACGGAGAGAGAAACCCGCCGCTGAATATTCCCCTCCATTGTGTCGGGGGACGCTAACTCCCAGCGTAACCTGCTGTCAGCTGGTGGACGTAAAACCAGATAACCGGAGCCTCGTCGACTCTGAGCGTGGAGAGCGGATGTTGTTGAGGCTGTCTCCTCGTTTTAGGAGGCGAGGAAACAAGCTGAAGGGCTTGTCGTGCTTCAGTCGACACAAGTGTGCCGTTTGTCATCCCTCAGGAGGGGCTCATCTGAGGAATCAGTGGGGGGGGGGGCGGCCTGACAAGTCCCTATTGAAGGAGATAGTGGGAGAAAGGTGGTGAGCGACGCCAGATTGGCTTTCCCGCCACCGCTCCAAATAGCTTGATAAGTACAGCGAGGAGAAGAGAGAGAGCGGCTGTTAGCGGCGATGTTACAGGTGTCAGTCATCCGAGCGAGGGGCTAGTTTCTCTCTCGGAACGACTCAGTGTCATAAATCTAATCCTGTCTCACTTTGTGTGACAGACAGCCGGGCGTCTGGTCGAGGGTTTGTTTTTTTTAATCTGAAACGCGACAGTTTGCTTGTCTGTTATATCTGAAAACCTTGAAAGAAAAACGAAATCACATTGACTTCTTTACTTTCTTATTTTTCATCCCCCACGTCCCCATTTTGGATTTTAACTTGATTTGCCTTTTATTCACATCAACATTTGGTGCGTTTGAACGTTGTTTTCTTAAGGCTGCTGGGGAACAACTTAGCTTTCTAAGTGTATTGTGGTCCCTTTAAGAGCATTGTGACTCATTCTACAGACACTTTAGAGCTATTTTCACTCGTGCACTCCCAAATAGTTAAACAGACTGCCTCTGAATTGTGTTTCTGTTTTAATTTTATTGCACAAAAACATCATAGATCAATGGAAAAACAGACAGTACATAATGATAAGTTAATTAACAAAATATACATTTTGAAAGAAATGTGCTGGAGGAGCCAAATGAACCCAGAGGGGCTCGTCGAGTGGCCCTCCTAAAGAGAAACATGTAACACAGAGACAAATACAATACAGCTAACAAGAACACATACTCAATAAAGTGTGAAAGGAAGAGAATTCATTTTGAGTTGTTCTTTCACACCTGACCCTCATTCATAGTGGGAGATTCTCCACGTTGGTCTCGGGAGGCAAGACGTGAGATAAAAGGAACCCAGTGAAAGTTGAATGTTTCAAAGATATCCAAGATGGCCGATGAGTCAGAGGCTATGATGACAGTTCATCCTTCATATCAATATGTGTAACTGGAATTAGTCACAGAGAAACGAAAGAGGGGGAAAAAAGAACCTGCTGGCAAAAGAAAAGGGAGTAAAGCAGCTTCGTTATGTGCACCAATATCAAACCAGTGACATATCAGTCACAGGTTTTAGACGTTATTATCCCCGCCCACTATTACCTGCTTATTGAGGACATTTTTTTACGAGGGGGATGACAGGAGAAAGTCTAGACAACGGTGTGATAAAAAATCCAGTTGACAGCATTTACACACACGTCAGGAACCTTTCCAGGAGTTTTGTGTGTGTGTTTGAGAAAGCTGTATAGGTGTTTAAACTGGTATTTCTAGGGAAGGTTAACCAACGTTGTATATGTGCATGTCTGAGGACTGAAAGTCTTAATTTCTCTGATTGATCTGAGAATGGAAAGGAGTCGAAATAGAGCTTGGAACAATTTCAGAATATGGAGCTGAATCCCAAAAATCAAAGCACGTTGATGTCCTCTGAATATCTGATTGGTGTTTGAATGATGTGTCAGGTATTTGTCTCTGTGCATCTCGTCTTACATTTTTATGTTGCTGTGATGCAAGTCGATATCAGACCTCGTCTGACGATACAGTTCAAACTGAGCCACCCTTTGGGAGTGGATGAAGGGAATTCAAAGCAGAAAGGCTGAATTGATATATCCGTTTATATGAAGCTTTGGTGGTTGGGTGGGTCAAGTTTGGCAGACTTCCTCTTAAGGTCGTATTCGAGCAAATCCATTGGGTGGATTGATTTTCTGTCAAACACATGAATACTGTGTTAAATTCTCTCTTGTGGCTCCAGGTATTTCTGGTGATAGGATAGAAGTCCCCAGAGTCTGTCTTTGAATTCAAATAAGTCATCTTTAACTCTTGCTCCATTTGAACTTCAGTCAAAATTGAAGTCATAAATGATCAGTTTCTCTTCTTTAATAATTCGGTGTTATATCCAGAGATGTGTTTCTTTCTTTTCTTTTCTTTTTTTTTTATTAAATACCGACGCAGAGCTCTTAATCACATGTTGCTCTCAGTGTGAAACCCATCGACCCTCTGGAGGAAAAGGGGGACGCTTTGAGATTCCTGGCACAAAAACGTCTATAGTCTGCATTGAAGAAATGTCGAATAGGTCCCCACAGGACCCCCTATCGAGCTTGTGTTCCGCTGCCTCAGATCATGTGTGTGACTTGAATCGTTTTCCTCTCTTTTTTTCCCCTCTTATTACTTGTTTAGTTCTTCCCTCTCTCTGTGTCTATCTCCTTGACCGCCGCGGCCCTCGCTCTTCCTCTCCACAAAAAGCGTTCATTCGTCTGTCTCGGCCGTTTCCCAGCGGAGGTCTGCGTGCCGAGGAATCCCCTTCAGAGCCGGGGGCCTTTTATCTGGAGCTGAGCCAGCAGTGGGAGAGGCCTGGGACCCTCTGGAGACCTGCTGTCAGGCTCAGAGAGAGAGGCAGACCTGATGGATATCTGAGCTTCTCAGGGAAAAGCTGGCACGGAAGAGAGGCTGGAGTCGGCCAATAAAAAAACTCTATCACGCTCTTCCACTCTTGTTCATTCATTTCCGCTCCCGCTCTGTTTGATTCCATCTCTGTCGCTCATCTGTTTCCTGTTTCCACTGTCTTGTAGCTTGTTTTCTCTCTCTCTGACAGGCTGCATGATTACCCTGCACATTTATGTAATGCTGCTAAAATCACAAAAAACTTTGGGCCTCCTGCCACTTTCAAATACTGCCGCTGATGCAGACGACCGTTTTAGCTTTCCAAGGTTGTATCTGACTAGATTAATGAATGAAATCTCTTTTTTTAAATATATATATAATGGGGTTTCTGCTTTAATTGTAGTGAGCAGGGATTCACACATGCAGTTCAAGGTTATTTCAACTCTCAGGTGTGTTTTCCTTTCATGCAGCCGAGTGGAATAGTTTCTCATGCTGTAGCTGTGTTTAAAACATGAGCGATGTATAAATCTCCTTGATGACTACAATTTCCTTATTCTGTTTGACCCAGATTCTCTGTTGTCGTGTTTACTACCCACGAGAGACTCCGCACAGAAAAACAACAATATGACTTTCTATTTTCATGTTTTTCCTCGCTGTTTTGAGTGCCTTCCGTTTTTAATGTGCGTCGAGTGAGAGTCGGCAAGAATGATGAGCCAATTAAGCCGAGCCGCCGAGGTAGTCTGATTACTGGAGCTTACCGCCGCGATACGGCCTAATGCGGTTGTAATGAGCGTGTCTGAGGAGGCTGGCATTACTCACTTTAAAACCCTCCTTCTAAAAAAGATGAGCTCATTCTGTGGACTGTTTTTTGTTTTGTTTTTTGGGGTGGGGGTAGGAAACCTGGGCCTTTTCAGATATCTGCCAACTCCATACAAAGCCATTGTTTCTCCCCAAAAAAACCCTCTGTGTTATTGTCATAACACGGTGAATCATGAACCAGGCGGCACCCACCGCGTCATGATGAAAGTACGTCTGGAAAAAGTGACTGTGAGCTTTGTTAAAAGTACACACACATGAATCAGAACTC